AGCACTATGATTTATTTAGGCTTTTATTTAGGCTTTATGTTCTATTTTCTTCAAGAAATGAGTTGTGATAATGAGACTGTTAATGAAATAGTTTGTTAGTTTCACTTGTATAATTCAACATCATCAATTATTGCCCATTAAAAATTCCATAGGCAAAACCAATAATAGTATCTTCTGTGGTAGCATCTTTCTAGGCATTTGACGTGCCTAGATCTTAACATGAAGAAGTGAAGTCTTTTGTGATTTTGTCTGAGCTTACCTTTTCAAGTTCATTTACCACTGCCCATCAGATGCCTTAAATTGCAGCCAAATTCTTAGAGGAAGAGGCTCCAAACAGAAGTCACTGAAGATTTTAAGCAAAAGTCAAAAAACAATTCATAATTTGATGTTTCTCATAATTATTTGTCATTACCTGTCTCTGTTTTGGGTCCTTTTTTTGGTTATTGTGTTTACAATGTACATTCATTATTCTATAGTCTATCAGTTAGCTATTGCCACAGTAATTTCATATAACAAACCACTCCCAAATTGACCCATTATTCTGCCCCCTAGAGGGATTGTCTGAGCTGGGTTCATTTGGGTAGCTCTGCTTAACACTGTTGGTCTTACTGGCTTATTTCTTTGCTGTGAGCTTTGGGCTTAAGTCTCCTCCATGTGTTCATTCTGAGGCCAGGGTTGGAGGGGAAGTTTCTAACCAGGAGCAGTGTTCACAGTGCAAAAGAATAAATTCAACCAAACTCATTTAAAGCCTTTGCATCAGATTTGTTAATATCTCTTTAGCCATAATCAAGTCACATGACCTAGTAGTTAGTCCAGGGGTAAGATAGTACTCTCTGGTGCTTTTGGAAATAGCAACAGAGTTTTGCAGCAAAGGGTGTAGAATCAAGGGTGGTAAGAATTGGAGGCCAGAAAATCAAGACCCCATCTTCACATGGCTAAATTCCACCTACTCTTTTTCCCCCATTTTTTATTATGGTTTTAAAAAAATAAAATTTAAGTTTACAGCTCAGTAGTGTTAAGAATATTCACATTCTTATACAATAGCTCTTTGGAATTTTTTCCCCCCAGTGCTGGGGATTGAACCAAGGACCTCAAGCGTACTAGGCAAGCACCCTACCACTGAGCTATGCCTCCCGCCTCTAGAATTTTTTCCATCTTATAAAACAGAAATCCTAAACCCATTTTTCATATTTAAAACTGATATCCTACTAAATCTGTTGAGTAACATTGCTCCCTGTCCCTGCTACTGGCAACCATCATTCTATTTTCTATTTCTATGAGTTTGATCTTTTTGTGACTGGGTTATTTCACTTAGCATAAAGTTTTCAAGTTTCTTCTTGAAAAGAAGAAAACTATGTACTATGTAAGGATTTTCTTTTCTTTTTTCTGGGGAAGGGGTACTGGGGATTGAACTCAGGGGCACTTGACTGCTGAGCCACATCCCCAGCCCTGTTTTATATTTTATTTAGAGACAGGGTCTCACTGAGTTGCTTAGTACCTCGCTTTTGCTGAGGCTGGCTTTGAACTTTGTATCCTCCTGCCTTAGTCTCCCAAGCCACTTTGATTACAGGCGTGCACCACCATGCATGGCTATGGATTTTTTTTTTTTTAAGGCTGAATAATAGTCCGTAATGTGTATATACTGCATTTTCTTTATGCGTTCACCTGTCATTGGGCTTCTATCTCTTAGATGCTTCTAGGTATTTAAATATCATGGCTGAATTCAAATGCCATTTCCTCTATGGCCTCTATAATTATTCAACGGAAAAGAATTAGTTCTTCTAAACTATTATTTTACTTTTATTCTTCATTATAAATGTATTACTCTCTACTTCTTATTATAAATACCTCCTTCTACTGTGGAAGGTCCTGTAGGGCAAATCTCTGGCTAATTCTTCTTTGTTACAGTAGTCCCTCCTTTTCCATGATTTTGCTTTATTTGGTTTCAGTTGTCCATGTGTCAGTCATGATTAAAAATATTAAATGGAAAATTCCAGAAATAAACAGTTTGTAAGTTTTGAATTGCATGCTGTTTTAATGGAGTGAGAATGAGAATCATCCCTTTTCCCCATATATCCATACTGTATAAGCTACCCACTCCTTGGCAATTGAGAGAGAGAGAAAACATGCACATAATTTATATTATGATATATTGTTCTATTTGTTCTATTTTAGTATTAGTTGTTGTTACTATCTTGCTGTGCCTAGTTGATAAACTTTTATTATAGGCATGTATAGGAAAAAAAAAAGTATACATAGAGTTCAGTACTATGAGATTTCAGGCATCCACTGGGGGTCCTGGAACATAAGCCCCACAGCTAGGGAAACTACTATATCCTCAATGTTTTGGCTTCTGAAAATCAATAAACTAATCATTTTAAATGAAAAGAGGTTATAGATTTCTTTTTATTGTAGTAAAATGGACAGAACAAAATTTACCATTTTAACCATTTTTAAGTATGCAGTTCTGTGGCTTTTAGTATATTTATAGTCGTGCTTTAGATTTATTTTTAATTGGACTTCTGGCTTCTCACATGCATGGGACCGGCATAGATCTTTTGAAAGGAACTCATGATGTAGATTTGAGAAAGGTACTGTTTCTCAAATGGAATTTTGTTCCTCATTAGAATATTATACAAACTTCTTTTATATTTTCCTCTATTTTGTGGAGCATGCCGACTCACCTTCCCTCATCCCTTTCCTATCTTCTTTAGAGCAAATGTTTTCTGCAAATAATTGTCAATTTCTTCTGTATCTAGACTCTTTTCAGGCTTGCTGCTGTAGCTTAGGTATCTATTTTTGGATTACAACCATTTAACAGATCCCCCTATAATATGAGTTGTGAATAATATGAAGCACACAGAGTGGAAACAGGGAAATGATGCATCATAATACTAATCTCTGTGTCTTGGCAGACTAACATCAACATGAATTTTTAGCTCTTCTTGAAAATGAAAAATAGCTTCGACATTCACATTCATCTTTAATAAATGTCGAGCATTTAAACACTTTTAGTATGTGTTATGAAAGAGCTTGTTCAGAATTCTTTCTGAAGGTTATACAGAGAATTCATGTCCTTTCAAGGACAGCACTGGATATAAATGATGATTTCCAACTGAAAATAGTAGAAAAGTATCAGAAATATTATTTTGTAGATGGTTTCTGAATTATAATGATTTGATTTGACTTGTATTTTTTCATCTTTACAATAATGCAAAAGTGATTCCCATTCATTGGAAACCATATTTCAAATTGTGGATTTTGATCTTTTCCCAGGCTTCTGATATGTAGTATATTACTCTTTTGTGCTGGACACTGGTAGCTTGCCACACTCACAGCCAGTCACATGGTCACAAGGTAAACAACCTATACTCCCCAGTATACTGTTACATAGAGATGATATTCTGTAGGTTAGGTGTATTGAATGCATTTTTGACTTAAGATATTTTCAATTGAGTATGGATTTACTGGGATATTGACATTGTCATTCAGGGAACATCTGTAGTAGGGTTTTCTCCAATTGCATACCATTTTCCTCTGATTAATTGTTCTATGTTCATGGTTCCTTGGCAGATTTTCCTTGTAGCCATGATTATAGAATATGGTGGTATTTAATGCTCATAAGCACCAAGGGGCCTGGAGACTGAGATGGTAGGAGCCTTTCATAGAATTCAATGCTTTTGAGACTTATGCTACCACGTGTATGTGTGTGTGTTTGACTTCCTGAATGTTTATTCCCAAGTGTGTAATGTTTGAAGAACACAAATTAATAAAGCATGTGAGCGAAAAGATTTTGAAATCTGGCTTATCTTTTGATTATTTTAGTATATTATTAGACTTGACCCTCCATTAGTATTTTAACTTCAACATTTTGAGGATGTTGAGGATAAAATGTGGATAATAAGTGAAAATAATGTTATTTTTATGTGAATAACTATTTGTTTTGACATGAAAATCAGTTTCTATCTTATAATGTCCAACCTGCTACGTGACTCTTCTAATCATAATCCCTTAAATGAGTATATAAATAGATTTTTTAAAAACTTTAGATATACTTGTGATGATTTTCTTCCAGTTACTTAATTTGTGATTGTTAGATATTTCTTATTTGGCCACCATTTAGCTTTTTAAAAAATATTTTTAGTTGACAATGTATATTTATTTTGTTTATTTATCTGTAGTGCTGAGAATTGAACCCATGTGCCTCATACATACTGGACAAGCATTCTACCAGTGAGCCACAACCCCAGCCCCCACCATTTATCTTTTAACCAGGATTAAATATGAAGGGAATTTGGAACTAGGATTGAATAAGGGCTGTCTAGTAAATGCTGTCTGTTTTTCTTTAATAAACATTTATTGATTGTCTACTAAGTTGCATATATAGGTTTATAGCGTGTACTCTTATTTGTACAATAGGTTTAATAATGCCTCGTGGAGTATAATAAATGACTTTATCTGTTTTATGTATGTACTCAACAGATGTTTTAATGACTTTAAAAAAATTTTTATAGTTGTAGATGGACAGCATGCCTTTTATTTTATGTGCTTATTTTTATATGCAGTGCTAAGGATCTAACCCAGTGCCTCACATGTGCTAGAAAAGCATTCTGCCACTGAGCCCCAGTCCTATCCCCTTTAGTAACATTTTTTTTTTCTAAATCTGTACCTCTTCAGAACCACCCTGAAAAGAGGATGCCTTGTTTTGATGATAGTTAGTCATACAATTCTCAGAATAAATAAATTAAGAAAGACTAATAGCAAATTTGATTTCTTTATATCTAAAAAAGGTAGTCACTCTCATTTCAAAACAAAACTCCAGGCTATTTCCATAATATATGATGGTAACATAATTCTGAAAATAAAACAATGTGGAATTCTTTCATCTTTCCTTCCCTGTCCTCAAAATAATAATATTTTTTGGCCATGTGGGCTTTTTTTTCAAGGTAGGAAACATCAATGTGGAGTAATGTTCCCCTGATTTCTAATCTCTCTTGTAGGTTTCATCACCCAATCCTCAGCCCTTTGGAGAGCAGTTTCCAGCTGGAAGTCGATGTTCTGAGTCATCTCCTGAAGGCCCAGGCCCAGGTCTCAGAGTGGAAGTTCCTCCCATCCCTGGTTAACTTGCACAGTGCTCACACTAAGCTTCAGACTTGGGGCCAGATCTTTGAAAAGCAGCGGGAGACGAAGAAACATCTGTTTGGAGGGCAGTCTCAGAAGGCTGTTCAGCCCCCACACCTTTTCCTTTGGTTGATGAAACTCAAAAACATGCTCCTGGCCAAGTTTAGTTTTTACTTTCATGAGGCACTGAGCCGGCAAACGACAGCTTCAGAAATGAAAGCATTGACTGCAAAAGCTAACCCAGACCTGTTTGGAAAGATTTGCAGCTTCATCAGGAAGTATGATGCTGCCAACGTGTCCTTAATTTTTGACAACCGAGGTTCAGAGAGCTTTCAGGGTCATGGCTACCACCACCCCCATTCCTACAGGGAGGCCCCTAAGGGTGTGGACCAGTATCCAGCCGTGGTGTCTCTGCCCAGTGACAGGCCAGTCATGCACTGGCCCAATGTCATCATGATCATGACAGACCGGACAACAGACCTGAACAGCTTGGAGAAAGTGGTTCATTTCTATGATGACAAAGTTCAGAGTACCTACTTCCTTACCCGCCCAGAACCTCACTTTACTATTGTTGTCATTTTTGAGTCAAAAAAATCTGAACGAGACTCCCACTTTATTTCCTTCCTCAATGAGCTCTCACTTGCCCTTAAGAACCCCAAAGTTTTTGCAAGTCTGAAACCTGGATCCAAAGGTTAGCCAGTGATTTGTGTAAGAGATTTTTAAGACTGGAATTTGTGTTCTTAATTGCTCTGATGATCTGCAGTGGTATGTGGCAAGAATTTACGTCCATTCATGCTTCTTTCAGAGCAGTATTAAAGACAAATCCTCCCTAATCGTGTAGTACACTTTGTAAGCAATTAAGGCCAGTTGAATTAAGTATCCAAAGAGTAATCTGGGAAGTGATCATGGACTGCTGTGTATCTCCACTGTTCAGCAAAGTAGTTCCAGTATTTTCTCCTGTATTTTTCCTCTATTTTATGTGGACTGGACATTTTCTGTCATTGCAATTAAAGGTGAATCAGATTTGTAGCGTAATGTCAGCTTTTAACAGTTCAGATGATCCTCATGGCAACTCTAATGGCATTGGTTCTTTTGGAGTGATCTATATGTCAAACTGCATTTGTTTTGCCTTTTTAAAGTTTGAAGTTTTTATTGTTTTAAAGTCAGTGTAAGCCATCGTGAGGTTTCTTCTTCGTACTATCTCTTTGACTATTATCACTTTTTTGCTGAAATCTATGTTCATCTTTGGCTCTACTCCCTGGTTATTTTTAGGCTCAGAAAGTATCAGTTTTGGTTTTTCAACCACTTTAGCTTCTCATACAATGTGCCCTGCTTTTATAAAATCAAAATGAAGGTCTTGATGCCTTGCATTTACTAAAAATCAATTGTGCTTTCAGAAGACCTCTTCATAGTTGAGTAATTAACTGAGTACTTAGCACATCTGAACTTGGGTTTTATGTCTGCCTCCTGCAAATTATGTTTAGTAGCAGTGCTACATCTTAGCACTGTCGGCCTCCTCATTTTCCTTCAGTAGGTGTTCATGGAGAAGTCAGTGGAATAGTAAAGGCATAATGGACTCTGAAATCCTTCATTTCCGTTACTGTTTCAGAGTAAAAAGGAACCAGAAAGAATAACCAAGTTGTTACTACTTGGTAGTTCTTTCAAAGTTTGTGTAAAATGTTACAGCCAGCTGAGTGCTGTTTCTCATGATTATGCAGACCCACCGTTGCACTGTGTGTCCAAGGAGGACACACCAGTAACATCAGCAGAGCCAGGGAGCCTCCAGTCAGTGGGAAGACTGCCCACCTAGTCTGGATTTCCTGGTAGAAGAACACACCCGCCTACTTTCTGGAGAGAACATGTGTTTTTCTTTATTTCTCTCTCATCATATGATTTGTAAAAAGCCAGTTTGCTTTAAATAGAATGTAGTGATTTATCTCTGCATTTTATTCACTCAGGTTCTATAAAAATATGAACAGATTTTACAACATTGACCTTACTTAAAAAATTGAAAACAGTTGGAACTAAAGAGTCAAATCATTTTTCTTCTTTTTTTGTACTTTGCCAAGTAACTGAAAAATATTCCTTGGTGTTTGTATATTTTTTTCCTCTGGATAAAACCACCATGAGCCTTAATGATAGGGCTCCCCCATGTACCTAAAATAATATGTGCTTCAGTGGAACACAGAGGGGTGTAAATAAAACATATGTGACACTTAAGCTGTCAAATGCATACATATTTGAATTGTATGTTTATTTTTTAAACAAAAAAGAATTTACAAGGAACAGAAGGCAGATGTAAATATTAAAATCTAAGACAATTCATGAATCACTGCAGCTGTCATAGACTGTACTGAGGGATTCTGAAGATTAAATATTGATATTCTAATGATTTCTTAAACCCTCCAAAAAAGTTTTCTTATTATATTAAAAAACATTTTGGTTCAAGTGAAGAGTCATTTTTACTCTCAGGTTTATCCTCTAACTACAGTAAGAAGATGATCTCTTAACACCTGTGTTTTTCTAATTGGAAGAGTAAATCTGCACATTCCTTGCCGACTATCTACTTTGAAATTCATTTCTAAAACCACAACCTTATGATTTTCTGGGTAGCTGGGAGCATGGTCAGCACCAAGTCTGCCAAAGAAGTCCCTCAAGGAGTGTTTCTTTTGAGGGTTCTGTTTGGACATAGGGTGAATGTTTACAGCTTTGTCCTCTCAGGGCCAATCTGTTATCCATACATAATTTTGGGTAGTGTGTGTGTGTGGGGGGGAAAGCCTACTTTTTTTTTTTTTTAAGAGAGGGAGAGAATTTTTTTAATATTTATTTTTTAGTTTTTGGTGGACACAACATCTTTATTTTATTTTTATGTGGTGCTGAGGATCAAAACCAGCGCCCTGCGCATGCCAGGTGAGCATGCTACCGCTTGAGCCACATCCCCAGTCCAAAGCCTATTTCTTAACTGAGGAGCCAATACGCTTTTTATAATTGCTTTCTACTTTTGGACATATTGGGAAAATTTGCTTTCAAGAAATAATTGATCCTTCACTGTACTCCCAGTGGATTCAATCAGGTGATCTTTAAACCATGTCCACCTTTTTGATCTAGCAGCTGATTTATGAGTTGTATTTCTTTGGCAAGTTAGCTTCTGAGTTCAATTTCTCTTTCTGTAAAATAGGATATGAAAACATGGGTTGCCTTTTTCAAAGGATAGAGTAAGACTGTCATGAGATCATTCATATAAAAAAGACTTTGAAAACTAGTGTTCAAAAGCTGTATAAATAAAAGATGAGCCCCTCTTCCCTTAAATTTGACATCTCTCCTTTTTTTTCTTTTTAAGTCTATGACCAACCTATGCTTACATGTGAAATTTGAATAACATTTAAAGAGCTAGTTTAGAAGAGGAGGCAGATAAATGCCTAACCAACACATCCACTCTTCCTCTTTTGGAATCTTTGTGGTTCTTTATTCCCAAATTTTTGTGGTTGGTTGATAGCATTGTTTCAGTTATTCTCTATTAACTCATTTTTTAGGGGTCTGATTGATCAATCAGTTCTTGAGAGAAGTGTGTTAAAGTCTTCAACTGTGGGCTGGGGTTGTGGCTCAGTGGTAGAGCACTTGCCTAGCATGTGTGAGGTACTGGATTTGATCCTCAGCACCATGTAAAAATAAAGAAAGATATTGTGTCTAACTACAACTAAAAAATTTATTTAAAAAAAATCTTGAACTGTGATTATGGATGTGTGTCTTCTAGATAGTTTATATCAGCTACAATCTGGTTATGTTCTAATTACATTTTTCCTTTTTTATTAGCCAGAGTATATTTACAAAGAAAAATTTCATCTCCCAATATTTGGTTACCTTGAAGTACAATTATATAGGAATGGCTTGGTAAATCTGATTTTTCCTTTTGCCTTTTTTAAAATAGTGAATTAGTTCCTTAGCATCTTCCAGAGAAGCTGTAGAATTTTAAAAGAAACATGAATTTTTAAGGATTTTTGCCTCTTATGTTTAACCTCAAATTTGAAGCAAAGCAGCCATTTTCCCCTCTCACCTCAAGATACTTCTGTGTAAATATTATGACTTTCCCTTTTTTTTCTCCCGGTTCTGTCTTCATTACTGTTGAGTATTTTCCTCCACCTTTCCTCTTCCCTCTCTCCATTTCCCTTTTCCCTTCCTTCCTCCCTTAGTTTCTGATATTGCCCTCACCAATTCCACTCCACTCACCACCCCCACCCATGTCTCAGGGAGCCAGAATATGCCCCAGTGGTCTCTGACCCACTTTGGGGAAGTAGCATCTGGAAGTATTCGTTTTGATTGATTTTACAACCAGGTCATCTTTTTCAGTAAGTAAGAATATGTATTGGGGTGTGTGTGTGTGTGTCAATTTTGACACTAATGGGGTGAACACAATGAAGCCTAGCCACTTTGAGCACACAGGACCTTTAGCCAACTAAGCCAAGCAGTGCTGTTTGTGTCTAGCAGATAATTTGGCCTAATAAATATTTCCAAGAGTAGTTTTCCTATGTAATGTTTTATTAGGATCATTCTTATTCTATTTGTTTTAATTAGTGTGTGAAATCATTAAATTAGCCCCTGATTTTTTTTTTCTTTAAGGAAAAAGTTATTTTTCTCCTTTCTTAATGAGAAAGAAGGAATACCATGTGACTCCCCAAGAAAGCCCTGTAGGTAGAGTTTAATTTAGCAATTCCCTCTCTACTTTTCTACCAGGTTCCTGTTACCAATGCAATTATTTCATGGCCTTTTGCCTGAATTATTCTAAGCAGCTTCTCCAGAGGAAATGAGTCAGAAGAAATAGGCTTGACGTGCACTTCTGCCTGTAGAGACTTTTCTTGGTATCACATAAATCCATAAGGCTTAATTAATGCAAGTATTTTGACTGTTTGCATATTTTTTCAGTCTGCTTTTGATGACAAGGTCTGTTTTGGGGGTACTTTACATATAAAACCATATGGTATGTGTAAGATATCAGGTTAGAAGATGGAGAGACAAATGGGCTCCTTTTCCTGTAGCTCTCTAACATCCAGGCCTGGAGGTGGTACTCTTAGCCCTGGTATAACTCAGGGAGGGTTCTCGGGAGCAACTGTATGGGAGTACATTCTGAGAGGGGTGCTTAGCACGCAGTAGCAGCAGCAGAAGAATGTAGGATGGCATCTGCTGTTGACCTAGGAGAGGAAAATAGTTGAAGGTTTTTGCTAACTTTGTCCATAAGGTGAATTCTGCTTTTGCCAGTCTGGAAACAACAGAGAAATTCTGGAATGCAGTTAAATTAGAAAATCTGATAAGTGGTGTGATCTGAGACTTACAGTGACTCAGCTGGTTGACATTCTAGGTTTTAGGCCTAGGCTCATTTCTTTTTTGAACAGACATGGCAGTACAGGACACTCCTTTCCCCCAGGGTCATCTTGGTCTTAGTTACTCCAGGGTAGGTCAGTGTTGGAGCTGCTCTCCTGACCACCGCCCCCAGCAGAAGACGACAGGATATGAAACGACTCCTTCCTAGTGTTCAGCATTCATTCATTTAACAACTATTAAAAATTGACTATGTGAAGGGTGGTGATAAAAGTTAACGAAGACCAATGTGATTCTTTGCTTGGTTGGTGCTTGTAGTTAAGCAGTCTGGCTCCAACCACCCAGGTAGCCACGAGTGTCGAGGGCTGTAACCAGTGAAATGCTGAATAGCTTTTATTTTATTATTTTTTAAATTTTTATTTGTTCCTTTTAGTTATGCATGACAGTAGAATCTATTTTGATATATTTATACAAACATAAAATATATCTTATTCTAATTAGGATGTATGTGATGTTGAGATTCACTGTGGTGTATTCATATATGTACATAAGAAAGTGATAGTCGATTCATTCCACTGCCTTTCCTATTCCTATCTTCCCTCCCTTTCCTTGATTCCCCTGTGTCTAAACCACAGAACTTCTATTCTCCTCATATTACTCAGTTATAAAGAAGAATGACTTTGTGACATTTGCAGGTAAATGTATGGATTTGGAGACTATCATGCTAAGTGAAATAAATCAATCCCAGAAAAACAAAGGTTGAATGTGCTCTCTGATGTTTAAATGATAACCCACTGAATAGTCTTTAAATTTGTGGCACTTGTATACCTTCCTATGGAAAAAAAAACCCTAAAATTATTATTTTGTTTAGGGAATGGGGTATGGTATGTCTCAATGGTAGATTGCATGCATGAAACCCTGTGTTCAATCTTTAGCAGTGTCAAAAAACTGAAATCATTTTGTTTCGCCCCAAAGATGGGTCTTATTATATACTGCAATTATTGACATTAAAATAAAATGTTAATTGCCCTTCTAAATGTGTGTATACATATACATACATATATATAAATGTTGTGTTACCATAGGTTCTAAGAGCTAATGACCAAATGATATATATATATGCATTAGAAAATATAACATATGCTAAGCATAAAAGTTACATTTAATTTGAAATATATCTTTCAAATGAATAGGTATGTTGTTTATGGTGATTTGATTAAAGAAATTGTCTCCATGTTCCTTTCTTTCGTGAACAGGAATTTTTACATCTTGCAATAATACCCCATATTAAGAACAAGGAATCCTAATTTTTTGGTCTCCCCCTACTTGTTGGCTAACAAGCTATCCTGCCACAAACATGGATGTTGGCAGAAGACAAGACAATTATTATAGTCACAGTAGCAGGATTGTCTCTACAGGGAAGAAAGACACACTTCCAAGGATGCTTGCTATACAGACATCCCTGAAGGATGGTCCTGAACTAAGGGCAGTCAGTGCTTCACTCTCAAGGCCTACAGAAACATGAGAACCCCATGGAAAATTGTCTGCACATACATCATCATAAACTTATGGGTGAGAGATGAGCTTGTTTTCATGTAGGAGAAGGTAGAAGACATGTAGCCTATGAATGGCACCTTCACAGGCTTATTTTAGCAAAGAGTTCATAAGGAAGTTGAGGATGTGAAATTGATTTCCATAAAATGATCCCTGTTATTATATTTCTTGAAAAGTACTCACATACCCCAAAATAGAATTGTGATTTGAAGTTTACTATTAAAGACACTTATAGGTGAATCTGGGTTGCTGGTCTCTGGGAGTTGCCACATCCACTGCAGCTTTGAGGTATTCTTGATTTTGGGAAGCCTCCTGTGTCAGGCTCCTGAACTTTCAGAGAAGTATGCTCATCAGATGGTGATGGTGTCCTATGTTTATCACCGTATGTGTTAGTTACATAGGAAGGGGACAATGGAAAGAAAACCCAAACATGATCAGTCTTCTAAGTTTTAATGCCAAAGTGAGCCAAGGTAAGGCATTTCTTGGATTTAAAAAAAAAAAAAAAGGTGGGGGACCTAATAAAGGGAAAGAATAAAGTACAACTGACTTCTCCTTATACCTTTCTTTGTGCCAATATAAGGAAGTACAATGTAGACGTGGGGATAGATGCAACTTAAAAGAGGAAAGAAAAATAGTCGGAGAGGAGGAGGAAGTGGACACTAGAGTAGTGAAGAGTGACTATGACATTAGGAGACAAAGGCATTCTGCTGTCCTGGTCAGAACCATGGCCTTAGGAAACAAGGCATAAAGCCCTTTCATTCTAGTGCTTTCCAGTTAGAAAGAGGTAAGACAGTCTTTGTTTCCTTTTCTTTGTCTTCAGCAAGTATGTAAGAACTCAATTCTAGCTCTTTGGTTACTCAGTCACAGTCTCTGATATTATGCTTATTAAGTTTACTGTGAACACCATTTTCCATAACACCTAACGAAAGTAATTACTTTTAATAAAAAGCAACCAAATATTTTAAAGGCTATTATGTCCCTATTCCATTCTGTGGACATAATTTTTAATTTTCTAATATCTTGGCCTCCTGTGTTTTATTCATTGTCACTTCATATATATATCACACTAAAGGTATTCTTTTTTTTTTAGTGAGCATCCATCATTAGTTGATACTGTAGTTTCCTAATGTTGACATTTTGATATTGTTTTATTTTGGCTTTGGAGCTGGTAGGCTTCTGTTAAATTTTTTTGGACCTTTTTTGGGAGATCTGAACTCTCTAGAGATGCTCTATATCAAAATAGCAGCATTAAAAGAAAAGAAAAAGCAGCATAATTGCAAAATCTTTGGCAGGATTGGGAATGAGAATTCAGTTTTTGAAATTAGCCAGTAGGGGGCAATCTGAAAGCAAAACAGCTCCTAAACTGTGGCTTCCTTTCCATCCTGGCATAATCAGCGCTACTTGCCTTATTCCAACACTGGAAAACTAAGCAGTGCAGGAGTTGTTATAAAAATGACCATTTTTAGTGTTTACAGTTGGGGTTTTCATGACTGCTCTTGTAGAGACAGGTATTCAGACAATTGGCTCAAGAGATGAGTCAGAAACTCTACTGTCATTTCCATTGAATTTTAACCAAGACATTCCAAACTCCTTCCTCATCTGGTGACTGTGCAGTGAACTGCTACTGACTCAGAACCATTCAAAAATGACTGTAATCTTGCTGTCATTTCATTCCTGAGACTTTGTTGGTTTGTCCTAAGACTTGTGTTCCCTCCTTGAAGCTTCAGACAGAAGTCTTACCTTGTGCTGAGGTTTGGATTTTAAATGTCCCCCAGAGACCCATGTGTTAAATGCTTGGTTGCCAGTTTGTGGTGGAACCTTTAGGAGGTAGGGTCTAGAGGAAGGTAATTATGTCACAGGGAGCATGCCCTTGACGGGGATATTGGGACCTGCCCCTTCCCCCCTCTCTTTGCTTCCTAGCCACCATGAGGTGAGCAGCTTTGCTCTCCCATGCCCTCCCTACTAATGCATTCAGCCTCACCACAGGCCCTGAAACAATGGAGTCAACTGACTAGGGACTGAAACTATAAGCCAAAATAAGCAGTCCCTTCTATTAAGTTGTCTGTCTCCGGTGTCTTAGTGACAGAAAGCTGACTAGCATAACTTATTTGGAGTGTTTAGAGGATGAATTAAGTACTTCACATTTTTGTGGAAGACAAAGGATTCACATACCCTTTGAGTTTATATTGAGAGTACACACCTCTTCCCAAATCTCCACACAAATATAATTTGCTATTGTAATTGCAGTTCATTTAATCCCCTCTGGGCCCATGGGCTCCCAGTATAAAAATCTGTTGAGGAGGTACTCTCAAAGTTTAAATAAACTGTTCAGGAGATGCAGTGAGTTTGGAAGGTTAGAGTATTGTAAATAAATGCTAAAGGTTTTCACCTGGATATCTTGTAGCCCACTGAGCACTTTACCTCCTCAAATTTGCTCCGCATTTTCTTTAGTTTCTCCTTGGTGTAGCTCTTGTTCCATGATTCTCACTGGAAAGTTTGGAGTCATCTTTGATTCTTCTCTTAATGTTAAATTCTTGGAGCACCCTCCTACTTTGTTGCCCTCTTTCCTTTGGATTTTTTTTGAGTCAAGTCGGTTAGAAATCTTGTGTCAGGTAGGGGCTCACATCCAGGAGACAGCTTCAGGATCCCAGCAGGTGGAAGAAGATGCAAGATGCAGTTGGGAGAGTAGATATTCTTTATTTGGAGGTGGCAATAACCCTTAACCAGCCCCCAGCTCCAGCTTCAGCCCTCAGCCAGTTCCGTTTAGCTCTCTGAGTCCTGTCCATAGAACTTCTTTATTTGCAGGTCAGACAAAGAAGGCATACTGCCAACAGGTTACATCAGTGGGCGCCTGCTCACAAGCAAATGTTTATGACTTTGAGTTCATATGCTGAATCAGAGTGTTTATGATCTTGAATACACACTAAAAACATAGCCTGCCAGATGGAAGCTTTGGAAAGGGAGCCTAACTACAGCCATTTTGGACCTGTGCTAATCTTGTCTCTGCTTTCTCAGTTTCTGTTTCTTTGTATTCCAACCATCCTTTTTACCTTTATTAGGTAAGTCTTTATAAATGTGGATTTGGTTGTATCTCTTCTGCTTTGCTTTTTTCCCCTAATTTAAAAGATGTCTTGATGAAGGAATTCCCTGGAAAAAAATTCACATCTGATAGGTTCAAATTTGCACTTTTTTCTTTTCCACTGTTTCCTTGCTTTAACTCATGCTTCACTCAAAATGGAATGCTTGCCCGGTCCTGTATTTGCTGAGTCTTCTTTGTCTGGGATCTTTCTAGACTAGGGGTTCATTACACTTTTTGTATAGTAGGATCTCTTTGGCATTCTGTAAAACCTCTGGACACTTTCTTAGAATATATTCAATGCATAAAATAATATATACAGAATTACAAAGGAAACAATTATATTAAAATAAAGTTAAAAATATTTTTGAAATTGATTGTTTCTTGTGTTCTTATTAATGCATTGAATAACAAAATCTAGCCTTGGTCCTAATAATTAGCACAGTAGTTTATTGCCTACATCTACAATGGAAGGAAAGTGCTAAAATTGTGTTAAAGATTAGGGAAAATAAAGATGTGATTTTTTCCTTATTCAAGTTTAGGTTGAGAACCTTAAATCTAAATAATTGATCTTCAAACTAGATTATGTATCAGAATCACCTGGATGCCAAATAACACTAAGACTCACTTCTGATGTAGTAGGTCAGGGGCAGATCCTAGAATCTGCATTTCTAGTACATTCTCTGGTATTGTTGATACTGCAAACCCAAGGATTGTACTTTGAAAACCTTTGATCTAGAATAGATCATCATATCCTGTGCCATCTGTACCTCCCCAAATCATTTGCCTCCCTAAAGATCCAGAAAAAGGCTACCTTCTGTATCATTTTTCCTTATTACCCTACTGGGAGAAATTTCTTCCCCTTCAAAAACTGCTGTCTCAATTTGTTCATGCCATTCTCATGGCATTTACCTTTCTGCTTTGTACTACAGTCACTGGGGTACAGTGTGGCTGGCCCCCACCTTGGGCTCCAGCCATCTAAACCAGGCATGATAAAAAAAAAATGCTATGAAATTTCAAACCTCCACAAAAGAGAAAATGTCTTCTCTCGTTTATTACATTAGGAGCTCTTCTAAGGTATGAGACATTCTTATAATTTGTAAAAGAAAGAAGGGACAAAGCAGAGGACGGAGAGAAACTTCAGTGGAAAACTCCTCATTAGGGAAAACTCCTCATTAGCAGCATAGAAATTAATCATGGAAGAGAACACCTAGTTTGTTCACTTAATACCCTTCCTGAGCGCTATAAACAGAAATATTCTTCATCCTGATTTTAAAACTTACATTTAAAAAGTAGGTTACATACTGGCCCTCCAGAAAAATTTCAGAAAGATAACCATTGGCTCATGGTAATTACATAGTATATGTAATCCAGGTCACTGGTAAGAATGTTGAATAGGTCAGGGCC